ATGGACCCTGACCCTTTGTCTATAAATGCCAAAGCCCCAACTATCTGGAAAGGTATACCTAATATCATGTCACTCTCGGGCTTGGATGGCTGATGATAGCACAATGGTAGTGTGAGCCTGGTGTTAATGGTGTAGGGCATGTTTACTGATACCTGAGCCCTGAAACTTGTGGAAGAAGATGCAGAGGAGGCATAAGGAAAAGGAACAAAGGAGCCTGGCCTGGTATAGTACACACCTTTAGTCCCAGCACTTGAGAGACAGAGGTAGGTGGATCTCTGAGTTCCAAGGCCAACCTGGACTACATAGTTCCAAGCCTGTGTGTGTGTGTGTGTGTGTGTGTGTGTGTGTGTGTGTGTGTGTGTAAGAGGGAGAGGAAGTGGGGGGGGGGACAACAGGATAAAAACATAAACCTTTACAAACAAAGGAACATGTTACACTCCAACTCTGGAAGTTTATTCTTCTGGAAACAACCTGTGTTGGTGGTACTTGAGGGGAAGGCATATACTTAATTCTGTCGAAGCAGACGTGAATGTTTGTGTACAGCATCCACAAAGGCTCCTACATGTTCTGGGTCCATGTCTGGGTAAAGTCCATGCCCTAGGTTGGCAATATAGCGTTGTGGCCCAAATTCATCCAGCATGTGCTGCACTAGTCGACCAATCTCTTCCTAGAGGACCAAGATAGAGGAGAGGGAGAGCAGGTATAATAAAACCACACACACGTGATCACCCAACCTTTGCACAATGCATAGAGAAAACCTTGTACACACATGCTGGGCCCGGTTATTACCTCAGATGCATACAAGGCACAGGGATCCAGGTTCCCCTGCAAGGTCACCATCTTTCCCACGCGCTCCCTGTAAGCACATCACCACATTCTCATCACTTCTTTATTTGGGGACTGTACCCCCTCTACCTCAACCTCTAGTGCCTACTGCACCATCACTCACCGGGCTTTCTTTGGTGCCACTGTCCAGTCAAGCCCAACTACCTCATAGCCAGCCTGGGCCAGCTCTTCCAGAGCAAAATGTCCATCCTTAGCAAAGATGATCTGGAGAAAAAGCAGATCTCTGACTCAGCCTTGCTGTGCCCAGTAGCCTTTCTTGGCTGTTCTTCTGCTGCCCTCCAATGGTGACTTCAGTCCACACAGGACTTAGCCCTGAAAGTGCTACAGGCCTTCACTCAGCCTGTCCCAGTCCTCACCATGGGCACTGGCGCCAGACCTTCCTTCTGCAGCCCAGCCTTCACCCGCTTGGCCACATCCCGGATGTAGGGCAGGGCAAACTTGCCAAAGAGCTCCGAGCCAAGATGTCCTGCGTGGGACTCAAAGAGCTGCAATGCCTGTAGATAGGCGATAAGAAAAAGGAAGGCCTAACACACAAAGAAGTGCCTCAGGCCCACATACAGATTATGCCTTAATTCTCCTCAGGTGACTTTAAACCCTGACCTACTCCCTGAGGCTAGGAGCTCAATTCTATTAAAAAAGTTTTGCCTTGAAAAAAGAAGCCAGGAAGTGGTGGCCCATGCCTTTAATCCCAGCACTCAGGAAGCAAATGCAGGTAGATCAATGAGTTCAAGGCCAGCCTGGTCTACAGAGCGAGATCCAGGTTGAGACCCTGTCTCAAAAAAAACAAATAAGAAAGAAAACAGAGAGGCAGTGGTAGCACACACCTTTCATCCCAGCACTTAGGAGGCAAAGGCAAAAGCAGAAGCAGTTTTGCCTTCTCCAGATCCTAGCAGCAACTTCAATTTCCAAAAACTCAGACCTTTAAGCCCTGCTGACAGTTTCAGGAAGGGCTTAGAATCCAAGTGGTTTAACCTGTAAGTCACGGCTCCTTTAAGGCCAAATGACCCATTTCTTTCACAGGGGTCACATATCAGATATTTACATTATAGTTCATAACACTAGAAAACTTACAGCTATGAAGTAGCAACAAAAGAATTTTATGGTTGGGGGTCACCATAACATGAACTGTACTAAAGGATAAGCATTAGGAAGGTTGAAAACCACTTAGATACTCCAACCAGATCACTGGAGGAAAACTAAGATCCCTGCTTTCTCCACTTTAGAAAGCCACTGCTTTGGGTCCTGATGGACCAAACTGCAGCCTGTTTGTCTCTAAAGACTCACCTGAGCACCAGCAGCCACCTGTCCTATTAGATATGGGACCAGAGCATCCGTGAGTATGCCAAGCAGCTTGTGACTGGCCTGTGGTCTTTGGTAGAGCCATCGCTTGGCCTGAGCCATGGTGCTTGAACTGCCACCCTCAATCATATATGTCATCAGGGTCCACTGTGGAAGGATACAAAGATGTCACAGCATAGAATCCTTTGTCTATACCAGACCTGCCAGAACGACCTCTTCATGCTCCAGTTCATGCCCTGTGCAGAATTACCGGAGCACCAGCGAAGCCAATTAACGGCACACGTCCAGCCAGCTGTTGTCGAGTAAGAGTGATGGCTTGGAACACATAGTCCAACTCTGAGGCCACTGTTGCTGGATCCCGTAGACGCTCTAGGTCCCGCTCTTCTCTTAATGGCTCTGGGAATGTGGGTCCTTTGCCAGGTACCATGGTCACCTCCATGCCCAGTGCCTTAAGGGGAATAAAATACCTGGCTTCACAATCTGGAACCGCAGAGGGAAGGGTTCTATTCAACCCATGTGATAAGGAAAGGAAAGAATAAAACCCCTGGCAAACTCCATTTCTTAGTGTTTTCCTCTACCCAGTTATGTACTTGAAACCTGACAAGACAGAGGATTTCCAAGGAGTGTTTTCCTTTCCTTTTGGTTTTTTTTTTTTTTTTTTTTTTTTTTTGGTTTTTTTTAAGCCCACATTCCAGGATCAGGATTGAGTACCTGGGGTACAACAAGAATGTCAGAGAAGATGATGGCAGCATCCAGAGGGAATCTTCTTAGTGGCTGCAGGGAATAACAAATAGGTTAACAAGGAGACACACTGAGGGCACAAATCCCACGCTCGTTTGTGGGGCTCTCACCTGCAGAGTCAGTTCACAACAAGCCTCAGGAGAGCGACAGGTGCTGAAGAAGTCCTGGGTAGACCTAGTTTCCCTAAACTCTGCAAGAGGAGAGCAAGAACAGGACTCAACCCAGGAGGTCTTCTAAAGTTATCATTGGCCCCTGAACTTCACCTTCTAGAGTTTTATCTAGACCATAGCTTTCATAGCTTTGTCCCTGACCTGGTAAGTATCGGCCTGCTTGTCGCATGCACCAAACGGGAGTGTAGTCTGTTTCCTCTCCCCAAGCTGCTTTCAGGAACGTGTCATTCTTCAGCTCCGGAAAATTCTGGAGTCTGGCGATCGGGTGGAGAGGAGAGGTAGGAGTAAGTGTCATGCTAGACTGGGGTTTAGGAAGGCGTGTTCAGTCAAGCACCGCTATCTGCCGCCTCCAGGTCGCTTGCAAACCATGGCTCCCCACCCATTCCGCCTCCTCTCTATCAGGTGGCGCACAAGACGCTAGGAGGGGGGCCCCACTGGGGCCTCTCTCATACACGTTTGTCCAGCTTTCCCAAACTGAAGGGACTGGGGAGGTGGGGGGGTGGAATGAAAATCCAGTAAGGAGAGTTTGGGGGAAAGAAGTTAATCTCAGGGACCGGGCCGCGAGTGGTAGGGTGATCCCCGAAACGAGAGAGAGGATCAGAGTTGATGGTCCCAAGTGCTAGTCAGACGTTCTAAGTCACCTCCGAAAGTCTAGGGACGCAGTCCCGCGAGGTAGTCCCTGGAATGGAGATTAGGGAAGGAGGCAGGGAGCGGGGAAGGTTCTATTCCATGATTGGAAGATTTGGAATCACAGCGATTTGGGTTCGTACTGGGAGAGCTCCAGAAAAATAAGAGTTTAAGGACATATCCCTGAACTGGAAGACTCAGATCAGAAAGCAAGGTAGCCACAGCGCGTGCAGTTGTGTTGACTCACCTCAACCCGTTCGCCTCCATCGTAAACAGTAACTGAGCAGTCTCCGGTCACCGCTTTAATCTGAATCTCCGCCCACACAGCCCAGGCTCCGCCCCTTCCTGAAGAGAACCTGGGATGTCGCCATATTGAGAGCCACGTGACCGTTCCGTCACTGACAGCTGTGGGGCTGCCCTCCCTGCTGCCCGTAGGACCCCAACAATTTTTCACCGTAAAGTCTAGTGTTACGCCGCAGTAACAAACGACCCAAAGAAATGACTTCTCAATACGTCTTAAGGTGGCGTGAGAAAATTGTTCCCATCTGTGGCCTGGAAATCCCGAACTTAGCCCAAGTCTCGCTTTCACTCCCATCCATGAGTCTAACAATGTCTAACAATGTTTTCTGGCAAAGGAATGATGCAAAAGGCTGTACTAAAGGTGCTCTTAATTGCTGAGCCATCTCTCCAGCCCCCGGTAATCACTTTTAGGTGGACAACGAATATTAGTCTCCCGGGATTAGAAGCAACAAATAGCATCTATCCAGAATGATTGAACACTCCTATCAGTGACCGAGGAAGGGGTCATTCTACCAAACATTTAGTCACACCGCCCCTAGGATAGATAGTTCAACAAATTTAAAGATGTTTCTCAAGCAGGGCATGATGGCTCAGCCTTTAATCCCTGCTCTTGGGAGACAGAGGCGGATCTCTGTGAGTTCAAGGCCAGCCTGGTCTGCATAATGGGTTCCGGGGCAGTCAGGGCTACACAGAGAAATCCTGTCTAGAAAAACAGGGGGCTGGGGGAGGGGGAGAGGATGTAGTTGCAGTGATCGAGGGAAGACAGAATAGTGGCTTGAACAAGGGTAGCAGCACTAGCTTGAATAAAGCCAGTGAGAGGATCGCGAGGTCGAAACTAGCCTGTGCTGCATAATGAGACCCTACCTCAAGAGTCTACTTTTGAGTCTGGTTGGGTTAGCCGGGGACGGGGTCACAAAATAGGGAATATCGTTGAGTGTCAGAGCACACCTGACCATCCGGTGGCAATAGGCTGTGCACTTAATCCAAAACATACGGCCAAGTAGGGTGGAAGGCGGAGCAGGGCGTGGTGGGAAGCTGAGCTTGCGGTCTCCCTGCTGTTGCTGCGGGCCAAGGTTTCCCTGGACGAGTTTCACCTCCGCGGCTTCACCATGGCTGGCCCTGGCCCCGGAGCGGCGCTCGAGTCCCCCCGACAGCTCCTGGGCCGCGTGCGCTTCCTGGCCGAGGCGGCGCGGAGCCTCCGGGCCGGGCTGCCGCTGCCCGCGGCGCTGGCTTTCGTGCCGCGAGAGGTGCTCTACAAGCTCTACAAGGACCCGGCGGGACCGTCGCGCGTGCTGCTGCCTGTGTGGGAGGCAGAGGGCCTGGGGCTGCGTGTAGGTGCCGCGGGCCCTGGCCCCGGCACCGGCTCGGGACCGCTGCGCGCCGCCCGCGACAGCATTGAGCTCCGGCGTGGCGCCTGTGTGCGCACCACCGGCGAGGAGCTGTGCAATGGCCACGGCCTCTGGGTGAAGTTGACCAAGGTGCGCCCCGGTGGGCCGGGACCCAGCCAAAGACCCCCCTGGATCCGGCCAAAGCCGTGGTTGGTTGTTCCGCCCTCTTTTCCCATAGTGAGCTGGCATTGCTTTCGGTGCTCTTTGCCCTGGGCTGGACTGGGCGAGCCGCTGGGCTGCTCCCTGACATCTGTGCCCTGACGGCTGTCCCCATCTGGCATGTCCCTGCAGGAGCAGCTGGCCGAACACCTGAGTGACTGCGGACTGGACGAAGGCTGGCTTCTGGTATGTCGCCCGGCGGAGGGCGGGGCCCGCCTTGTACCCATCGACACTCCAGACCACCTGCAGCGGCAGCAGCAGCTCTTCGGTGTAGACTACCGGCCGGTGCTCAGGTCCTGCAAGTGAAAGAACGCGACTTGGTGTCCAGCAGGGCAAGGGGTTTGGAAGTGCGACCCAAATCCAGACCTTGGGTTGTGTGAGATTTTGGGTTGTGTGAGATTTTGGGGTGGCAAGAACAGGCAGAGATGAGACCTGGAAGGGGTGGCATAAGGTTTCTGGAGGCTTGGAGGTAGAACTCTAGAGAAGGCTCTAGACCTTGGAGGTGGTGTCCTGTTGCCCATACCTCCCTCCTCATTCACCCGACTCTGTGCCCACAGATGGGAACAGGTGGTGGACCTGACATACTCACATCGCCTAGGGTCCAGGCCTCAGCCAGCAGAGGCCTACACGGAAGCGATACAAAGACTACTGTGAGTTATCTGGAGTGGGGTGGAAGAGGAGGGAGCCGGGCCTGAACCCAGCCTAATCAGGGGTTTGGGGTTGCTTAGCTATGTGCCCCCAACATGGACATTTGAGTGCGACGAGGACCTGATCCACTTCTTATATGACCACCTGGGCAAAGAAGATGAGAACCTGGGTAGTGTGAAGCAGTATGTGGAAAGCATAGATGTTTCCTCCTACACGGTGGGTGCTGAGACTCCTCCTGTGGCTAGATGCAGTCACATTCCTCAATGCTAGGTCCAGAACTCACTCCCATTGCCAAACCGGGGCCAAACCATCGTCCCCACAAGCCACACTTTGTGCCTCTCCTCTTGGAACCCAGACACCCTTCCCTACCCCACACCCACCCCAACTCAAACACTTGCCCAGTGCAGATGTGACTCCACCTTTCTGCCCCTACCCTAGGAGGAGTTCAATGTGTCCTGCCTGACGGATAGCAATGCAGACACCTACTGGGAGAGCGATGGGTCCCAGTGCCAACACTGGGTACGGCTTACCATGAAGAAAGGCACAATTGTCAAGTGAGTGGGCTCTGGGCCGGACAGGGTGGGTGAGCCATGTGCTCTGGGTGCCTAGAGACTCACTCAGACACATACTCTGAACCTTCAGGAAGCTGCTACTCACAGTGGATACCACAGATGACAACTTCATGCCTAAGCGGGTAGTGGTCTATGGGGGTGAAGGGGACAACCTGAAGAAGCTGAGTGACGTGAACATTGACGAGTGAGCAAGCTGCCCCGGGGTGGGAAGTGGGGTATGATCTTAGCAATGGGTCCAAGCTCAGCTTGAATGGAACCCCAGAAGTTCCTGAGGGCCTAAGGCAGCAAGTATCTGAACTGCTTTATACCTGTCTCCTAGGACTCTGATTGGGGATGTCTGTGTCTTGGAGGACATGACTGTCCACCTTCCAATCATCGAGATCCGAATCGTTGAGTGTCGAGGTGGGGCTTAAGGCTATAAGGAATCCCAGGATGTGGTTGGGGGCAAGCTGACAGTATGGAGAGAAGGGAATTGGCTTGGAGTTAGGGTAAAGCTATGGGGCCAGAGATAGGTATAAGCCAACCTTAAAGCCATAGGGATAGTCAAGCTCATCTAGAAAAGGAACTTGTGTTAGGATCCACAGGCATCCCAACAGCATAGAGGCGGAATGAATATATAAATATCAGAACCGTGTGATAGAATCTAGAAGCCTCCAGTGGCTAACTGACAAAATGCCAACCTTTAAGGAGCCATTCCCGGGTCTGAGGGCCAAGAAAGCTGCAGTCACAGGAAATGACCATACTCTGACCCTTTCCCTCAGATGACGGGATTGATGTTCGTCTTCGAGGGGTCAAGATCAAGTCCTCTAGACAGCGGGAGCTAGGCTTGAATGCAGACCTGTTCCAGCCAGCCAGTCTGGTGCGATATCCACGCCTAGAAGGCACTGACCCAGAAGTACTATACCGAAGAGCTGTCCTTCTGCAGAGGTAGCTATGGTGCTGGCCCTGCATGCCTCTCTTTTCCCTAAGCCTTGGGAATCTACATGGAGGAGGCCCCAAAGTCTGGTAAAAATAAACTAGTCCGCTTTGAGGGCCAGAGCATCTCTTGATCATCGCTCTGTCCCTGTGGATTAGAGACTGGGGTCTTACATCCATGCTAAATTCTGTTTGTTTTGTTTTTGAGACAGGGTTTCTCTGTGTAGCCTTGGCCATCCTGGAACTCACTCTGTAGACCAGGCTGGCCTTGAACTCACAGAGATCTGCCTGCCTCTGCCTTCTAAGTACTGGGATTAAAGGGGTGCCCCACCACTGCACAGCATCCACGCTGAACTCTTTATCTTCACGCATTACCACAGATTCATCAAGATCCTGGACAGTGTCCTGCACCACCTGGTACCTGCATGGGACCACACACTGGGCACCTTCAGTGAGATTAAAGTGAGTCTGAACCCTGCAGTACTAACCTGGGCACTGGGTTCCTCCTTCCCGTTCATCTGGTTTTCACTCTTTAGCAGAAAGTTCCTGAAACCCCTAGGGCTATAGACCCTTTCTGCTTCTGGAAACCAAGAACAAAGCCAGACACAAGTGATGAAAAGTTAGGGTTTGGGGGGCTAGTTCCCGCACAGGTGTGTGAAGTAGGCAGTAGGAGGGAGAGGAGGAACCGCACAGGTGGGCAGCTATACGAAAGGTGCCCACTGGGGGCTGCGGCAGCGCCACAGGACTTAAAGAGAACATACAGCTCGGTGTGAGGGTGACGTGGATGAGACTGGAAAGGGGCTGACGGGAAGCATAGGCTGCGTCTCAGGAGCCTCGTGTACCAGGGTGTGAAGTAGGGACTTAGCTATGGTCAGTGGAACTATTAGAAAGCTTGTAAGAAGCCTGTGGTAGTGGCGCACGCCTTTAATCCCAGCACTCGGGAGGCAGAGGCAGGAGGATCTCTGTGAGTTTAAGGCCAATCTGGTCAATAGATCGAGTTTCAGGACAGCCAGGACTACACAGAGAAACCCTGTCCTGAAAAACAAACAAAAATAATAAAAATAAAAAAAGAAAGCAGCCGGGCGGTGGTGGCGCACGCCTTTAATCCCAGCACTCGGGAGGCAGAGCCAGGCGGATCTCTGTGAGTTCGAGGCCAGCCTGGGCTACCAAGTGAGTTCCAGGAAAAGGCGCAAAGCTACACAGAGAAACCCTGTCTCGAAAAACCAAAAAAAAAGAAAAAAAAGAAAAGAAAAAGAAAGCGAGAAACAAACAAACAAACCCGTAAGGTAATATTAGATTTGTGTTGTTGTTTTACAGAGTTCCCCTTTGTGCTTAGTTTAAGGAAGAAACTATAGGCAAGCACAGAATGAACGAGGCTTGACTGGGATGGTAAAATTGGGTCTAGCCATAGAGGAAAGTCCCAGGGCTAGACAAAAGCTGCCTGTCTACTGAGGCTGCCCTGGCCACCTTTCCTCACCAGCAAGTGAAACAGTTCCTACTGCTGTCACGCCAGCGGCCCAGCTTGGTAGCACAGTGCCTTCGTGATTCGGAAAGCAGCAAGCCCAGCTTCATGCCACGGCTGTACATCAACCGCCGCCTTGCCATGGAACACCGTGCCTGCCCTTCTCGGGACCCTGCCTGCAAGAATGCAGTCTTCACCCAGGTCTGGCCCACCGGGATCAGACTGAGGGAGGGTCAGTGAAGGGCCTAGGGCTTTAGTCCAAGAGGGACTTGAGCAAGGTCTTTGGGCAGGAGTAGGGACAGCTTTTTAACATAAACCTCCGTACGGCTCCCACTTACTCCCATTTCCTCATGTCCCCCAGGTTTATGAAGGCCTCAAGCCTTCTGACAAGTATGAAAAGCCCTTGGACTACAGGTATGGCGTGAGGGTTAGGGACTTGCCCAGGGTCTGTACATCCACACACTGCACCTCACACCTCTCACTATTCCCACTCTATAGTCTTTTCCTAGCTGGTATCTGGGCCAGTTAATGTGCCTGAGCTCAGCCCTAGCATAACAGAGATCCATCCATCCCTATTTCCAGGTGGCCCATGCGCTATGACCAGTGGTGGGAATGTAAATTCATCGCAGAAGGCATCATTGACCAAGGTGAGGCCATGACATGGGCTCCAATTGTTATCCTTTTAGAGTGTTAGCACCTTCTGGGATTACCAGCTAATAGACACAGGAAGCCTGCTTGTTACCCCCCCCCCCTTTTTTTTTTTTTTTTGGTTTTTCGAGACAGGGTTTCTCTGTGTAGCTTTGCGCCTTTCCTGGAACTCACTTGGTAGCCCAGGCTGGCCTTGAACTCACAGAGATCCGCCTGGCTCTGCCTCCCGAGTGCTGGGATTAAAGGCGTGCGCCACCACCGCCCGGCTTGTTACCCCTTTTGAAAGCCCAGCTGAAAGCTTCTGTCATTTCAGGTGGTGGCTTCCGTGACAGCCTGGCAGATATGTCAGAAGAGCTGTGCCCCAGCTCAGCGGACACCCCTGTGCCTCTGCCCTTCTTCGTGCGCACGGCGAACCAGGTGACTGTCTCCCCACCCACCACCAAATTTCCGCCACCTCTGCAAATCTCTTGAGAACCAGACAGAGCTGGAGGGGGCAGTGGAGGGACCGAATTACCTGGGCAGCCTCTGCACAAAGGAAAGGAGCATCCTTCTACATTAGGAGGGATGGTGGAGGGGGAGCAGTAGACTTCCGGTGAAGTCTTTAGGGTACCTGTGGTAGGAAAATAGGGTCTACCCCATGTCCTGCTGATAGCTCTGTCTCTGGGGCAGGGCAATGGCACTGGTGAGGCCCGGGACATGTATGTGCCTAATCCGTCTTGCCGAGACTTTGCCAAGTATGAGTGGATCGGACAGCTGATGGGGGCTGCCCTTCGGGGTAAGGAGTTCCTGGTGAGTAACACCATCACCACCTGTCAGCTAAGCCCAGACCTCGAAAGAAGGGCCTGCAAACCTGAGAGGCTCAGTGAGAAGACAAATGTGTTTGTCACGCAGGTATTGGCCCTGCCTGGGTTCGTGTGGAAGCAGCTGTCTGGTGAGGAGGTGAGCTGGAGCAAAGACTTCCCAGCTGTGGACTCCGTGCTGGTGAGCAGGACCTGGACCCGTGTTTCCTCTGCCCAGACCCACTGCTTCCAAGTACATGTGTTCCCTCTGTAGTCCCATCGACTCCCATGGATTCAGCTGCTGTCTTTGCTCTGATAACCCCTAAAATCCTTACCTCCAGCTCGCACTTCTCTCCTCAGCCTGGGGCCATATGTGCATCTACCTCAAGATGGCCCATCTGACTCTTGCATTCTGCACTCTTCACCTTATCCCCAGTCCACCACCTCTTGGGCTCCAGGCTCAGAATTGCACCCCCAACCCTTTTGCCCATGCCAAAGTCAGCAGGGTCTTTTTGTGTTTATTCTGATTTTTGCCTTTATTTTTTTTAGCATATTTGTGTGTTTGTGTGTGTGTGTGTGCGTGTGTGTGTGCGTGCGTGCGTGCGTGTGTGTGTGTGTGTGTGTGTGTGTGTGTGTGTGTGTATGTGTGTAGGTAGGTAGGTGGGTAGGTAGGTAGATAGGTAGGTAGGTAGGTGCACCATGGTACATATGTAGAGGTCAGAGGACAACTTTTGGGAATTGGATCTCTTTCCACCATGAGATCCTGGGAGTTGAACTCAGGTCATGAGACTTGTGGCAGGTGCTTTTATGCACGGAACCATCTTGCCGGCCCTGTGTTTTCCTCTTTGCAGTAGGGTCTCATGTAGTAGAGGATATGCAGTTGAGGAGGATGGCCTTGAACTTCTCATCTTCCTGCTCCACCTCCTAAATGCTGGATTGCAGGCATGTGCCAGCCACCATGCCTGGCTTAGGGTCACCCTAACTCTTCTCCCCACCACATCCTGTCCAGTCTCTCCCTGGATTTAGTGTGCTAATTCCCCCATCACTGCTGTCCCCGCGGTTCGGGCCACCTTTTCTTCTGTCCCAGCTGTGTATTGTGAAAGCTAATGCCCCGTCTCTGTTCTTGTCCATCTCATTCCACGCTGCCAGAGTCAGTCATTTCACTGTCCTCGGTTAAACCACGTGATGACCGCTTTGGGCTTAGGGCAGTAGGAACTCTGTAAAGACCTTACCTGACTCCTGTGTCTCAGCCACTGACTCACACTCAGGCTCTAAGCAAAACATTCTTGAGGCCTTTTGAGTTTTCAGCTTTGTCCGAGATGTTCTCTCTCCCGACTTCCCTTGCGGCCAAGCCAATTCCCAGCTGTCCTTTGGGTCAGGCCAGGTGCCATTTCCTGCAGGATGCCAACCCTAACCTCCAAGGCTGGCTGGGTATTGTCTCAACGCTTTCATGGCCCTTTACTGGTCTCTGCACTCTACATTACCCACAGGAAGACAGAGACTGTCTCCCCAGTGAGGAGCTGACACCCCTGCTTCTCTCTCCCCAACCCTCAGGTGAAGCTCCTGGAAGTGATGGAAGGGATGGACAAGGAGACATTTGAGTTCAAGTTCGGGAAGGAGCTAACATTCACCACCGTACTGAGTGATCAGCAGGTGGTGGAGCTGATTCCTGGGGGCACAGGCATCGTGGTGGGATACGAGGACCGCTCTCGCTTCATCCAGCTGGTGCAGAAGGCTCGACTGGAGGAAAGCAAGGAACAGGTAGCAAACCGGAGCTCTGGACCTTCCCAGCCCCTTCCCTGTACAGCCGGAGAGCCGGCCGGTAGGCCACCACTACCAGTCCCCATTCTAGCTCTCACCATAACTGTGCCCCTCATTCCTGCTGACCAGTGAGTAGAGATGTCCCCAGTGTGTGCTGAAAGGAGCGTCCTCTTTCCCAGCCGGACTTTTCCCTCCTCCCTAGGTGGCAGCCATGCAGGCAGGTCTGCTGAAGGTGGTACCACAGGCTGTGCTGGACCTGCTGACCTGGCAAGAGCTGGAAAAGAAGGTGTGTGGGGATCCGGAGGTCACTGTGGATGCTCTGCGCAAGCTCAGTGAGTTCTGGGGATGGGGCAGTGAAGCCGGAGGGCGATTCTTAAGGACTAGCAGAATGAGACCTAAGAATGGATTCTTGCCTTGGCCCCTGCAGCTCGGTTTGAGGACTTTGAACCATCTGACACGCGAGTGCAGTACTTCTGGGAGGCTCTGAACAATTTCACCAATGGTCAGTAGAGGGCAGCGTGCCACTTGCATTGCCTTGGGACCGCTTGTGGGCTGGAGGGGCGGATTGAAGTTGTAGAAGCTCCGGTCGCCATCAGTGCAAGCCTTAATTCTCTTCTCCTCCACCCAGAGGACCGGAGCCGCTTCCTGCGCTTTGTCACTGGCCGCAGCCGCCTCCCAGCTCGGATCTACATCTACCCAGACAAACTGGGGTGAGTGTGAGCACAGAGAAGGGCCTGAGGTGCCTTCCACATACACACATCCCGCTACAGCTCCTCCTAACCTTTTGCCTCTCCAAACTCCCAGCTATGAGACCACAGACGCTCTGCCTGAGTCTTCCACCTGCTCCAGCACGCTCTTCCTCCCGCACTATGCCAGGTGAGTTTTCCTAGGTTCATGTTCGGGGGGTGACGTCCTCGTGTGGAAGGGTGGCGGGCAGCAAAGTGCACCCCTGGGCGCAGCAGAGCTGCCTGCCTAACCACCTTCCTTCCCCTCCTTTAGTGCCAAGGTATGTGAGGAGAAGCTCCGCTATGCCGCCTACAACTGTGTGGCCATCGACACGGACATGAGCCCCTGGGAGGAGTGAGGCTGTGCCTAAGCCCTCACCCGGGCCAACCCAGTTTGAGTCTCAACAGAAGGGACGAACACCTCAGCACAGTGGGCCCTGCGCTGTGTGCAGCTGCCGTGGGAGCCACGAGTAGACACTAGTGGTCCAGCCCCCGCAGACCCACAAGCCCTCCTCCTCCTGGGGCTTGCTCTGTGAGAGGCATCTTCCACAAGCCCCGCCGCACAAGCTGCCAGGCCTGAGCTACTTGAAGGGGGCCTCTAGCTCCCCAACCCGAGGACTTTGACCCCATCTTTGGTCTCCCCCATTTCCCCCTCTTTTCTAGCTTCAGCCACGGCTCAAAATGTTTAAAAATTGATAGGATGGTACTTCAAGCAAGGAGCCAAGGACACAGAGTGGTCATCTTCCTTGGTCACGTATCCCCAAGAATGAGGCCCCAGTTGCATACCCCAGCCCTTGCATACTAGTCTTCTCCCTCCCATAGCAGAGGTGTGTGAGCTTTGTCCTTCCAGCGGCTTAGAATGTCCGTCCACTCGACGTTGAGTCTTTCCTCATCCCCTCTGCGTGATGCCAGCCCAACTCCTTGTCTGCTCCTTCAACCACCCCCCAGATCTCACACAGTCGTGGATCCTTTTACCGTACTCTAAAATATTTAAAGCCTAGACGTTAAACCTGCTCCGAGGGCTGTGTACACCCTGAGAGCCTCCATGACACTCCTTTAGAAGGTCTTGCACATGGGAAAATTGAATAAATTAATGCGTTCATTTCTTCAGGGTGTGCTTTTGTGATGTGATCCCTACTAAACTCATGGTGCTACTATGTCCTGGAAGGAACTCTGACACGCTTCTGGTAGCAGGGGACATGTGCCTAATGGTAGTGGTGGGGCTTCCCAGTGACACGTTACGTCTGGAGTGCAGGCTAGGAATGAAAGCCCAGAGCAGAGGACAGAAGGCCGGCACATCTCGAAGTGAACGTGGTGATTTAGAGCTTGGAAGCCCACCGCCAGAAGCAAGTGAGCAGGAAGATGGTACATGGAGGGTAGAGCTGGGACAGCTGACTTTGACAGACTTGGAGCCCCAGGTGCCTCATAACTAAGGCACCGAGACTCTTGCCCCAAGTACTTGCCTTGCACCCTCAAGCACAGTCCACTGGACAGTTGTCTTGGTGTCCTGGTACAATGTATGGCCATTAGTTGCCTATCAAAGCAGAGCATGTGTGACTGCCCAGACCTCTCTCCCACCCTGGAACTCACACCCCAACTGAGCCTCCTGGGCAGCCCTGTCCTGCCCATGCACTTTGGGTGGCCTACAGAAAACATGCATGAACACCCTCCTCCCTACCCCACTCCCCCACAGGGAGCCGAAGCAGCAGGAATCCCAGGAGCTGCACGTCCACTAAGCTCTGTTCTCAGCATCTCCCCCTGGCTCTGCTGGTGGAAGGCGTGCCTCCCCACTCTGTCTCCCCTGTAAGTGCTGTGGGGTGCAGTTGGTCTCTGCCCGGACAGCTGTCCTTAGTAGCTCTAACACTAGCAGCCTGCTTTGCTTTCATTTAGAAATAAAGCCTGTTCCTGCCAGTGGTGGTGCACGCCTTTAATCCCAGCACTCGGGAGGCAGAAGTAGGTGGATCTCTGTGAGTTCGAGGCCAGCCTAGTCTACAGAGTGAGTTCCAGGACAGCCAAGGCTCCACAGAGAAACCCTGTCTTGGGAAAAGATAAAAAAGAAAGAAATGGAGCATACAGCACAGGTGTCAGGCATCAAGTCTTAAGCGCCATGGCTAAATGGGTTGTTTTTGCACCACAGCACACTTAACGGGACACTGCTGCATCTTCCCAGTGTGTAACAGTGTGCAGCATGCATCCTCTCCGCGATGAATTACCATACTTCCTTCTAAGTATGGACCCACTGAAACATCTGTCTCTTTCTTTAAAAGCTTTATTTTACTGTTAAAATTGTGTGTACACATGTATGTTTGTATGGAGTGTGTGTACATGAATGTAGGCACCCAAGGAGGCCATGAGGACACTGGATCCCCTAGAGCTGAAGTTACAGGCATCTGTGAGCCGTCTGGTATAGGTGCTAGGTACTAACCTCAGGTCCTCTGGAAGATCAGTGAGTGCTCTTAACTCTCTGCAGCCCTGGAACATTGGATTCTTTATATGTTCCATCTAATTAAATATCTCTGAGAAACACTTCCTCCAACCCCCACTTTTGTTTTGTTTCTGAGACAGGGTCTTGCTGTGTAACCTTGGCTGGCCTGGTCTGAAACTCCTTATGTAGACCAGGCTGGCCATCAGCCTGCAGCAGTACGGCCTCTACCACCCACATGCCGAGAGTTCAGGCAGGCACCCGCCACCACACTCGGTCTAAAACCCTTTAATGTGAAGGGGTTTTGCCGTGGCCTGCTCTGGGACATCCTGTGTATTGCAACTGTTCTCCTCATGAAAGGAGGTAAGAGCGCCCTCATGAAGTTGCTGTGGCGACAAATGTGTGGTCTGTGACAACAGGGTCAGCACACACGGTCAGCAGTTTACAAACCGTCAGTTTTCATTCTCGCTTCTGGTGTTACCGTTTTCCTCTGTGCTGCACTTCCTTGGCCAGTTTGTTCTCTCTCTCTCTCTCTCTCTCTCTCTCTCTCTCTCTCTCTCTCTCTCTCTCTCTCTCTCTCTCTCTCTCTCTCGCCTTGTGCGCACACCTTTAATCCCAGCACTCAGGAAGCAGAGGCGGGCGAACCTCTTGAGTTCAAGGCCAGCGTGGTCTACAGAGTGAGTTCCAGGGCAGCCAGGGAAACACAGAGAAACCCTGTATCAGGAGAGAGAGAGAGAGAGAGAGAGAGAATCCAAAAACAGTCTTCACATTTCTCATTGCTTTTATGGAGGAGAGAATTTTTGGATGTCTGGAAACGTATTATTTTTAGTAATATAAACTGCTCCCTTTTTCTTCTAAATTTATTGGATAGGAAGTCATGGAGACTGAGCTGAAGGTGCTCGCCACCAAGCCCAAGGACCTAAGTTCAATCCCTAATGTCCATAATGTGGAAGGAGAGAACCAGTTCCTGCATGTTGCGCTTGCCCCCCCCCATGCGCACTGTGCACATGTATATACATACATCCACACAAATAAATACATGTTAAAAAACAGTTTTTTGGAAAAAGAACAGTTGAAGAGGGACTGGAGATGGAGTTTTGGGGAACAAGACTTGACAAACATAAGCAAGACCTAGAGAGATGTTGAAGTATAAAAGATTTCAATGAAACAAATCTCAAGTTTAAATATTCTCTGATGGACCAGGGATGTAGCTCAATGTAAAGTGCTTGACCAAGTGTGAGCCCTGGGTTTCCCCTGTACTGAGGTTGGGGAGAGGGCTTCTATAATCTTAAGTTCTGAGCTGGGAAGATAAATCTGTCAGTAAATTAGTGAGACCTGACCTCAGAGCCCATGTGAAAAAGCTGGATGTGGTGTTCACATTTGGTATCCCAGCACTGGCGAGGCGGAGACCAGATCTTGGAGGCTTGCTAGCCAGCCTCGCCTGATTGATGAGCTCCAGGCTAAATGAGGAACCCTGTCTCAAGGGAAAGAGCTCCTAAGGAACTACACCTAAGGTCTACCTCGTGAGTGCCACACGTGAATAACACAAACACCTCACAGCACCTCAGTGGTCAGTGTGGTCTTCTTGCCCAACTTATTCCCCCCAAAATGTCACCTTTTAATAAACTCACTTTAGTCATCATTGTTTAAACTCTTTATAATTTAGACTGCTGGCCTTGTTAGAATGTCAAGTCTACAGAGGCTGGATCCTTATCTTTTGTTCAGATATATCACAAGAGCCCTAAAATTGTCCTTGGGAAGGAGACTGATGTGGGGAATAATTCCAAGTAAGCATCAACTATAGACACTGAGTAACTAGTTGTTAAATGAATAAACAAAATATGACCTCAAAACCCTATTTCCAATTAAAAAGGGAGGAACCAAAAGTCTGAAAAGTTGTTTATGATAAAAGTGGCGAAACCACCAAATTAATCAAATTACTTCTTTAAAAACTGACCCATTGGGGCTGGAGAGATGGCTCAGCTGTTAAAGGCTAGGCTCACAACCAAAAATAAAAACCGACCCATCAGCTTAGAACACCAATGTCTTGACTTCAAAGTCACCGATGGTGGGAGTTCTCTGTGCTTGAAGAAGTCCTAATTTGTGGGGGTTGCTGCCAAGCATTCATTTTATAACAGTAAACAATTCGGCATCATTCTCTCTGTGACTTATCATTAGTCCCTTGGTGATCACTAAGCTTATGTGCAAAAATTGAGTTGGAAGTACTTTAGTTCTCGCAATTAGCAGCCAAAGTAGACTTTTTCTCATTTTTATCTTTCAGTGCTCTAACAATAACAATTCCCCACCACACTGACAAGCTCACAGCCAAATGGAATAGATGAGCATTATGATGTGGCCAGCAAATTCCCAAAGAGAGATCTCTAGCAGACTGTGGGAAGAGTATCTGTGAGCCAAGGCCCAACTTTGGAAGATTTCTTTTGTTTCTCACACTACAGAGGACTTGCCCTTCTGAGCCTACCTCATCCACCTTAAGAAATGAGATGTAATCACTTGTGAACAGAAAAGCATTATTAGGAACAACTCATTTCTAATAAGCATTTACAAAGTACCTCCTGTATACTTGATATATACTAATATGCACGAGCCTAGTCACTCGAGAATAGCATGAACCAAATTAGAAGGCATCTTCAGGAGAGGAGTTAGCAGTTAGGCTTTTGGCCTAGTTTCCCTATCACTAAATGGGATGTTAAAGGAAAATTCAAACTAATTAAATTATTCACTTAGCACATCTTAGGTCCTGGGAAGAAAGGAACAAATAAAATACAGCCTTTCGCCGGGAGGTGGTGGCGCACGCCTTTAATCCCAGCACTTGGGAGGCAGAGGCAGGCGGATCTTTGTGAGTTCGAGGCCAGCCTGGGCTACAGAGTGAGTTCCAGGAAAGGCACAAAGCTACACAGAGAAACCCTGTCTCAAAAAAAAAAAAAAAAAAAAAAAAAAAAAAAAAAAAAAAAAAAACCCCAAAAAAATATGTAGCCTTTCTCCTCAAAGAATTTGATTAAAAAAATACCTGAAAAGGCCTGGAGAGATGGCTCAGCAGTTAAGAGCACTGGCTGCTCTTCCAGAGGACTCAGGGTCAATTCCCAGCACCCAAATGGTGGCTCACAATCATCTGTAACTCCAGTTCCAGGGGACTCAATGCCCTCTTCTGGCCTTTATGGATACCAGGCATGCATGTGGTGCACAGACATACATGTAGGCAAAACACTCATACATGAAAAATGTTTTTTCCGAGACAGGGTTTCTCTGTGTAGTACTGAGTGTCTTGGAACTTGCTCTGTAGACCAGGCTGGCCTTGAACTCAGGGACCTGTCTGTGTCCGCCTCCTGGGTGCTGTGATCAAAGGCATGCTCCACCATGCCTGGCTATAAGAAATATTTAGAGAAGAAGAAGAAAGCTGTAGTATTTTGTGGTGAGTATCCTAAGTACTAGATGTCCTCGGAGCCTGGAGGAAGAAATTCACAATGCAACAGGGTTTTGTTGTATTCTGACAGGCTCTCACACTGTACACACTGTAGCCCAGGCTAGCCTGAAACTCATCATGTAACCCAGACTGGCCTAGTACTCATGGCCTTCCTGCCTCAGTCTCCTGAGTGCCGGGACTACAGGTATCAGCCACCACTCAGCAGCAATTTTAATACCTCCCAGGAAGCTTTTTAGGGATGA